AATTATATAAAATTTGTAAAAAAATATATTAATATTAGTATCAAATTAATTATTTAAAAAAATTTATTTGTGTATTTTTTTAATTCAAAATTTTTATTATAATTTAGTTTATTATAACGAAGTTACTTAATTTGGATTTAATAATCTATACTATCTTATAATGCATTTGGCTCAAAACTCTTAGGTGGTGTTTGTTTTTTGAAAAAAGCTCTTATTTTACCACTTATGTCTGATTCGGTCAGACATAAGGCAATTCAGACTGTTTGTTTTTCTTTTTCTTTCAGAGCCACTTATCACTTATTTTCCTCTTAAAAATTAAGTGATAACCTAGCCACTTATTTTCCTCTTAATCCTAAAAACTATCCAGAGAACTTATTTCTACTTCATCATTCGATCGACTTCACCCTCTCAATCGATCGACTTCACCCTYCTTACCGTCTCAATCGATCGACTTCACCCTCCATCGTCTCTGGTGGCTTCAAATCGACCCAAATCAGATCCAAATCAAGAGGGTTTTCTTCTCTGTGGGTTTTCGCCACTGTGTGTTTTCGTTTCTGTGCAAACCAGTAGTTGTGCACCTTTATCCTCGTGAATCAAGGTATTTTCGTCCCTGTAGTTTTCATCATGATGGAGATTTGCTTCGATTTTAGAGGTGGATTTGGGCATTGGATTTTAGAGAAGGAGTGATGGTGGACTGTGGTTGATGGTGGTGGGATGAGGGTGGAGATTGAGGATGGAAGACTTGATGTGAAGGAAAAGGAAGAATTAAATAAATCTTGAGAACATAAACAGAAGTGAAATCAGAAATTATACATATTCATATGTTTTGTTGGTTACAAAAGCAAACTATTGATTCAGATTTCAGACTTCAGACGTTTGTCAGTTTACAAAAACAAACAATCTGACTGATTCAGATTTCAGACTTCAACACCACCTCTTAAAAATCAGAAATGAAATCAGACTTCAGACTTCAGCACCTCTTAAAAAACAAACGCCACCTTAAACTCTTAAACTCTTAAACTCTTAAAAACAACTTTTGTTGCTTTAAGTACAACCTACTAAAGCATACTATCTAACCACCCTCTTCCTAAACCCAATCCCGCTTATCGCAACCCTGAAATCGCCCTTTTTTTCGCCCCTATTTCCCAATCCCATTCTTACGCAACCCTAATCCATCCCAATCGATGAAATCGTTTGAATCCCAACCCAATCACGCGTATCACAACCCTGAAATCGCCCATTTTCTCGCCCCTAATTCCCAATCCCATTCTTACGCAACCCTAATCCATCCCAATCGATGAAATCGTTTGAATCCTAATCCCATTTTTTTCGCTACCCTAATCCAATTCGATGAGATTGGCTCAGGATTTGATATAATCGCAACCCTAATCCAATTCATCTACATCTACACAAAGCTCTGCTCGTAACCCTCACCCATATATCGTCAGGCTAATTGCTCTTTGGTCTGTTTTCAGGTTGCTTAGTGTGTTTCGGTACATCGGCTGTTATCGTCAGGCTAATTGCAGTTTACAGGTTCATATTTAAGTCCATATTTCTCTTTACAATACTTACAACTATATGACCTTCTGTTTGCACTGCTTCTACATGACTGTCCCTGTACCTTCTGTTTGCACTGCTTTGCATTTGTTATCCAAGATATAAATTTTGACAATTGGGTATTTGGCAATTTGAGTTTCAAAAAAGTTAAAGGTAAACCGAGTTAAGTTACTTAAATATATAGTTTGGAGATGTGTGCAGGTCTGTATTTAATTGTCTGTAAACAAAGATTTTCAACTTGACCAGAGGGTATACAACCGACCGACTACATCCGAGGTTTGAATAAAAAACCTTTTCTTTTTTATCTTATAAACACATGTGATACATAATATAGACTATATTAAATAATCACATTTTAGGTTGCTGGTATTTGGGTTGAAGGCAATGACAACATCACTGCATATAA